CATGTTATTATCATTATTATCATTATTATTATTATTATTATTATTATCATTATTATCATTATTATTATTATTATTATTATTATCATTATTATTACTATTATCCTCTCCTGTTGTTACGGCTTCATGCTGTGTCAGACCGGACCTGCTGCTGGTTCTGGTTCTGAACATTTGGGCCAAACCGGTTCTGATGGTTTCACAGGTCCTGCTGTAGATCCAAATGGACTTTGGTTCTCCATGAAGCTCAGTTAAATCAGAAGGTTCTGTTGGTGGAACATGGCAGCAGAACCAGAACCAGGCGGTCCATTTGACCCGTTCTGGAGGTTCTTCATTTAAGGTTCTGGACCCAAACTTCACAAACGTTCTGATCTCAGCAGGAAAACTCAGAGACCCGATCAGAACCAACCAGAAGGTTCTGATGGACTTCCTTCATCCGGCTCCAGAACCTTCTGATAGAACTGAACCGTCAGAAGAACCAAAGCACCAAACCCGACAGAACCAAGAGACAGAACGGTTCCTTTGGTTCTGATCCGTTCAGTTCAGATCGAAGGTCATCTGAAGGAACCAAAGAATCATCATCCGGTCCAATCAATTGGGTCAGAACCGGGTCAGAAGCCAATCACAGCCCAGATTGGGTCAAAGTGATCATAAAGGTCGTTTCCATGGAAACCAGCTGGTTGCCAGGCATGTTCAGCCTCCAGAACCTTCAGAGTTCTACATGTTCTGTGGTTTGACCCGGTTCTGTTTGGGTTCTGGTTCCTAACAGCAGTAGAACCTGTGGGAACATCAGAGACGTTCTTTAGAAGCTGCTCCCATCCGGACCCTCAGAACCTGCTGCTGCTGCAGAGTTTCATTTCCCCTGCAGCACTCAAACGCATCGCGTGCCGAGTGGGAACTTCCTGTTGCCACGGCGACCTGTTTGTTCTGATTGTGGTCGGGTCGGGTCGGGTCAACGCTGCTGCTGTAAAATCCGACCCGGTCCAAACGTCACGAGCATCCAGACCAGAATGTACGGCTCCGCTTTGTCTGTGTTAATGTTCTGTACATACTGCCAGGTTTGAACTAGGACCTTTATTTAACCGTCATTAACCAGTTATTGATTATGGACAATAAAGTAAAAAATTCACATGAAAAGTTTCTGTTGAAATGATGAAGCAAAGTTTCCCATCCTAAAGATGGAAATCAATTATTTGATATCAGTGATCACTGTAAAACATTAATAACATTATAATAGTGATCACTGTAAAACATCATAAATGCGTCATAATTCCTGCGGCGTCAGAGCTTCCAGGCGTTCCTCATCATCAGGATGAAGTAGGCGTCGCTGTCGATGGAGGCGCTGACGCCACTGTAGTAGTTCAGAAACTCCTCT